GTGCAAACGTTTTCAGAAAACATTGTTATGAGGTTAAACTTCTAAATAAATCTTCATTTACTAGCTGATTGTCAGCTGCTTCTCTGTGCCGTTTTTTTTTTTATTCTAACGAACCAAAAATAAATAACAGAAAAAAACACAAGAACAAAAAAAGTTGCATGAGGTCATAAATTTATGAAGCTAAAAGGAGCGACAACAAGATGATAATTGCTCTAACATTTAAACCAAACACGATAAAGAAAATAACTTTAATGCTACAAGAATAAAAAAAAAATGTGCAAAAATAAAAGGAACATTTTGATTTGATCATTATTCACCATTTTAAATCCTTAACTGACAGATTTGTGATCTGACGGTTGCCTTTTCTCTCATAATTAACGTTTTTCCTCACTCGCCCTCAAGCAAGACAAACGCCTTTCTTCCCTCTCCTGCCTTCCTCCTGCTTTTTTGCTCTCTGTCCTGTGTAACGGAGCATCTATTTACACATCTTCCAAATCATAAATTACTGTCATGTATTTGGTCAGCTGAACTTTCAACGCAATTGATAACATTTTTTCAACCAAGCGACAGGGTCCTGGAGAACCCTCATGCCCCGCTGAGACGCACGCAGCAGGATACATCATGGATCTGTGGGGAGAGTGGAAAATGCTGTGCCTTTCTGTGTTGTCTCAGGAGGATGTCGAAGATCTAGGCATCATTAGATTTATGATAGCAGGGTTTCTGCTTTTGGGTACTGTCAGATACCTATGTAATCAGCTATTAAAGGAAGTCGGCAGCAGCAGATTCAGCCATGGCAAAGCTGCCTACCTTATGTGAAGGATTAGTTCGTATTTCGAGCTCACATACTCGGCTGATTTACGAGCTCAACCATAAGATGGAAGCAATTTATGAGAATCGTAGGCCACTTGGGGCTTCTGGAACTCGACAGCATGTTGGGGTTGACCTTGGAGAAGGCTAATAAGCACGGACAGTGGAAAGTCCACAAATTTGGCCATTTTGGATCATAAGAGTACCAGCAGAACTCAAGGTTGACGAAAAACAGTCTGCCTGCACAAAAAACCAACTGTGGCTTGTCTGAATCTGGCCTCCTCGTTCGGACTTGAATAGACCAACTTATCAAATTGCTCCTGGAGATGTGTAAACTAAGAAGGCTCTGCTATATCCATAAAAAAATTGTTCAAACTGATTTGTGAAAATATTTTTTATTTTATTTATTTTAGGCTTTTGGCAGCCTGCATGACAGTATAATAGCTTTAAAACATCCATCCATCCATCCATTATCTTTTACCAGTTTCTTCCATTTTAGGTCACTGGGGTTGCCGGTACCCATGTCCAGCAATCGCTGTACGAGGAGCGGGGGTACACCCTGGACAGGAAGCAAGTCCATCACAGGGACACAGAGACAAACAACCATTCACTCTCACACCTAGTGGTGACAATTTAGAGTTACCAATCAGCCTAACATGCATGTTTTTGGTCTGGAGGAAACCAGCGTACCCAGAGAAAATCCACGCATGCACGGAGAAAACATGCAAACTCCACCCAGAAAGGCCCCCGGACTGGAATTTGAACCGGGGACCTGCTTGCTGAGAGGCAGCAGCTCTACCAGTAGCGCCAACGTGCTGTCCAGATTTAAAACAGTTTTAAAAAAATGCTGATAAGGCTATATAACGGTGCAAAATATAGACTAACTGGTGGGAAACTAAAAATAAGCTTACAAGACATTTTTACTTGAACAATTTGGATCGCCTAGTGCAGGAAACAAATGAACAGGTTTCTGAAGACTTTCAACAAGACTGGTCAAGAAAAGTTAACGTACTTGCTGCCGTATAAGTCGCATCAGTCCAGATATGTCTAAAAAAATGAAAAAACAAAAACAAACAAGTCGCTTCGCTGTATTAGTCGCATCTATTATGTATCACCAGTTGACAGTTGACCTGACAGATGACCTGACTGAAAAATGTTGGATTGTATACCTGGATTATTGAGCATGGACTATTTCGGTTTCAACCAGTTTGACAAGACTGTCAACAAGGAAGAGGGCCGGCAATGGAGGAGGGGGCGTACCAAAGAGACCATCTTATCACAAGCAGAACTGGTTTGTTCCACTTTGGAGTAAGCTGTTGGGGGAAGAATCAGTTTTGTTGTGCGTTTCCTTGACTGATGAAGCTTTCTGGACCGAAGGCGAAACGTTTCAGCACACAAAAAAAAAGAAACTGTCCAGATGACCGGACTGAAAAATGTTGGACCTGGGAGCATCATTTCTCATATGAAAAAAAGAGACCAACTTTAAGTTCTTATGATGCTATCAAACAAGTTGCAGGAATGCAAATGACATAGCACAGAGATCAAAGTGTGATGATAAGAGGCCAAACATGACCTAAATTCTTGAAGGACAACTCGGTGCCAGTGGAAGGTTCTGAACTGGAAAATAAGAACTGAGCTTCTCGTCAAAGGAGGATTGTTGCAGCACAATAATGATCCAAAACATGTTACCAAAACTTCACAATAAAATAAAATATATATATAACTTGGCTGAGTATGCCACTAGAATAAAATTCAATACATCAGTAATAGTACCCACGTGTGCAGCTTCTTTTTAACCTCATTCAAGTTCTACAAAATGTCTTACTGATGTATTACTCATTCACACCCACACAGCACGTTATCTCTGTGTATTCACATAAATTCAGCACATTCTTCACTTAGTCACACAATGATAAAGCTTCAAGACAAAGAAACCTCATCAAAAAACATTCTGTCGTGTGGCAGGGTCACATGGGCCGTTTTCTGAGTGAAAAAAACAACCACTGAGCCAGTCAGTCCGATTAAATGCATTTGAAAGAGAAAGGCAGAGGAAAACAATAATTCCTGAACTCCTTCCAGACGTTTTGAAGCAACACTACATCTACTGCATATAAAACAAACTTTATTATAAAGCGTTATTCGACAAGGATCCCTGAAGCAGATGCTCCGAGACCCAAGAAGCTCCAAAGTTGGACAAGCATGCCATGAAGACTCTGAAACAGCCTTTGACACAAAACAATCCTACAAATGATTATGTGCCAATTCACACAAACAGTAGGCTGCAAAAGTATTCGCCCCCTTGGGATTCGATGTCTGTTGCCCTACAACCAGGATTTATTAAGGCATTTTGTGGGGTTTGTATCTTTTAATAGAACACAAGATTATTTTAATAAACAAAAATACAATTATTTATTTATAAACACATATAAAATGACAGCTTGTGAACTGGAATCTTTTTTATTTAACCGTTTCTCCTCAAACCACTTGAGTGCTGCTACAGCAGACTGTTGGGGAACCTCACACATTTGGGACGAACAGGTTCCCCTCGAAGATTTCTCTGTGGTTTTTGTGTCATTCATCTTTCCAAACTCTAATGAATCTGTAATATGCGAGTTTCACTTTCTGACATGTTCGACAAAAATATTGAACCTTTTCCACAATATTCTAATTTTTGAGATGCACCTGTAGTCTCAAACAGCCCAGAGAAATACATTTTATGACCTGAAGGTTCTTCACAACATTTCTCATTATTCACCCACACATGCTCATTTAATTCAGTTCAGTTTATTTATATAGCGCCAAGTCACAACAGAAGTCATCTCAGGGCACTGAACAGAAATATATACATATAATAATAAGTTGTCAGAAACATTCATATATAAAAATAATAATTTAAGCACTATTTATATGAGGAGCAGACTGCTTTGAGTTCAACTCCATCTCAGACTCTCATCTTGAGCATGAAGGCGACAGTGGAAAGAACAAACTCCCTCATGAGGAAGAAACCTTTAGCAGAACCAGGCTCAGGCCAAGAGGTCATCTGCTTTGACCGGCTGGGTTTGGTAGGAACAGATACACAATGGCAGGTCAAGAATCACATGTTAAGATAGAAATAGTATCAAATGAAAACGATTCAATTTTAACAATTAATTTTAGGAGATGAGGTCAATTTATCCTCTTGTAGTCCAACCTTAAGTCAGCTAAGCCAACCCTAACTATAGGATTTATCAAAAAGTAAAGTCTTAAGTACAGTCTGGACAATGCGTCAGCCTTATGGACAGAAACTGGAAGTTGTTTCCACAGGAGAGGAGCCTGATAACTGAAAGATCTCCCTCCCATTCTGCTTTTGGAGACTCTAGGGACCACGAGTAAGCCGGCAGTCTGAGAGCGAAGTGCTCTGTTACGAAAATATAGAACAACAAGATCTCAAATATAAGATGGAGCTAGGTTGTAGGTTAGAAGTAAGATTTGGAATTCAGTTCTGGATTTGACAGGGAGCCAATGCAGAGAAGCTAAAACTGGAGAGATATGATCTCTCCCACTAACTCCAGTTCAGACTCTTGCAGCAGCATTTTGGATCAACTGAAGACTTTTTAAAGAAGTATTTGGACATTTACATAATGAACCATTACAATAGTCCAGTCTATTCAGTCCTTTTGTTTTTACCTTCAATACACAGCAACCTATGCTCTCACCCATACACCAATAAGCATAACTGGAAAGGAAAGGGGAGGGGAGGGGGGGGAGTTCAGGAATCAAACCTCCCAATCCTGTGATTGGTGGAAACCTCGGGACAAAGGCAAACCGGTACCTGTGCATGTTTTTCATGTTCTTAAAGATTCAAAACAACTGTCCGCACCCACATTTATTTATTTTCAATTATCTGGAGTATTTTCTTCCATCGCTTCATAATAAAAGTAAAAACTGAGGAGCGAGAAAGGTCTGCTGTCTGTGTGTGTTTGCTCTGGAGTAAAGGTGCGCAGGGGAGGGTGTGGCCACCGGCCAGGTGCACTTGAACCTGAGGAATACTGTGAAACTCCACAGGTACGCCTGGCGCTTCACTCGTGGCCAACAAACACCTCGCACGAGAAACTGTTTCAACAAAACAAGCTACTTGGTATTTTGCCCCCCCCCCCGGACTGTCCGACAAACAAAGCGCTCCTCTTGGTTTAATGAAAACATTCCGCACTCACCCAGAAGATGCAGGCGTAACCGAAGAGCAGGAATTTAAGGAGCGTATAGGACAGTGTCTGACAGCATCCCGTGTCGCTGTTGCAGGGCATCGTGTCTGAATGTGAATATTTCACTACAGCGGCTTCTTTCACTGACACCGCACTTCCGGGTTGTCACTGTCGCCACACCTGTAGGCAGGTCTGGGCAGACAGAGCTGGTTTGTGATTGTTAGTGCCTGGAGTTACTTTTCTGCAAATAAAGTGGGCAGAATTATTGAGGAGTTTTTTAGGGCTTCAACAAAGCAAAAGACTTTGAGTAAAAAGAAACTGCAGCAAATTTCACTCTTCTCAGCTTGTGACAGGTCTTAATGATCAGGTTCTCAGCTGGTTATTTCTCTGTGCCTTTATTTTTATTTAAACTGATGCACTACCACCTAAGTTGTGCCCCCATGGAAAAGCCTTTGTTGTTTAAAATGATTTAATTTCAGACACAATACTTATACAGTACGGGGGGACAGATGCTTTTAACAGAGAACATGCCAGATGTAACTCCGCCCCCTAGTGGTGAGGTATATGGCTGCAGGTTGATCAAGATGGATAGATAGATAGATGATAGATAGATTTATAGATATATATATAGATAGATAGATAGATAGATAGATAGATAGATAGATAGATAGATA